AGAGATCAAAAAGTGGATGTACATCCAGTCTGGGCCATGCTTTCATGGATAGCACCAGGAAGGTCTAGCTCACCTAGCAAAGGGTTTCCTCTGCTTCATCCTTGCCAGTTGACCACTCTGCCTCCCTTTGCCATTGATAAGTCCGTTGCTTCCTAGACCAGTCCCTTAGCTTGGCTGATGACTCTGGTTCTTCCTCACACTGAGCCCTGGGGCTTTCACAGTCTGACAGAAAGGAGACCAAAAGTGCTGCCTGGATTTATCTCTCAATAGCTTTCCTTTCTTTCTTCTTTCCTTTCTCCCTTCAATAAACATTTTATATTTACAAAAAAAAAAAAATGGTAAAGATTACCAAAACCAAACCTGTTGTCGTGTAGTCGATTCCAACTCATAGCAACCCTATAGGACAGAGTAGAACTGCCCCATAGGGTTTCTAAGGAGCACCTGGTGAATTTGAACTGCCAACCTTTTGGTTAGCAGCCTGAGCTCTTAACCACTATGCCACCAGGGTTTCTATAGTGCAGAGAATTACTGTATACCCCTTACCTACATAGTTACAATTTTATATTACCATGGTACCTTTGTCAGCACCAAGAAACCAACATTGGTGCATTACTATTAACTATAAACTCCAGACTTCATTTAGATTTCTCTAGTTTTTTCCCATTCTGTTCTAGGATCCCATCCAGGATACCACATTATATTCCATCATCATGTCTCCTTAGTCTTATCTGGTGTGTGACAGTTTTCCAGTCTTCCCTTGTTTTTCATGACCTTGACAGTTTTGAGGAATACTGGTCAGGTATTTTGTAGAATGTCCCTCAAATGGGATTTGTTTGATGTTTTTCTCATGGTTAGAGTGAGGTTATGGGTTTTGGGGAAGAATACCACAAAGGTGAAGAGCCATTCTCATCACATTGTATAAGGGACATATGATATCAATATTACTTATCACTGGTGAGGTTAACCTTGATCTCCTAACCAGGGTAACCCCCCTCCACCCACCACACACACACAGACCTTTTTCTTTCCATACTCTGTTTTTTGCAAGCAAGTCACTAAGTGCAGTCCACATTCAAGTGGTGGGGGATTAAGCTCTACTTCTTGGAGGGGAGAATTATTTACATAAATTATTTAGAATTCTTCAGTAGGCAAGATATGTCCTTTCTCCCAATTTATTTATTTAATCATAACTTATTTATGTCAGTATGGATGCATAGATGATTATTTTATATGTTAGATTATAATTCAATACTACTTTATTTGTTTTGTTACTCAAAATGTTCCACGTTTGGCCTTTAGGGATTCCTTCAGTTGTCTTCTGTGCTCTCTTGACATGCTCCCATTCTTTTGGTTTTTGAGCTCTTCCTTAATTTCTAGCACTACCAGATCTTCCAAGCCCACCTTGTATTTTTTTTTTTTTTTCCTTTAATTGGAGAATGGTATTAGAAACTAAGGTCTGGCTGTTGGGTGTGCTTATTGCTACTAGGGTATCACTCTGTCTAGGTTCTCTTAGTGGACAGAGTTAGGAAATATGCAATCAGTGCTCACGGAGGCAGCAGTCAAGACATCAAATGACATATTGCATTGGGCAAATCTGCTGCAAAAGACCTCTTTAAAGTGTTAAAAAGCAAAAATGTCATTTTGAAGACTAAGATGCATCTGACCCAAGCCATGGTATTTTCAGTCGTCTCATACTCATGTGAAAGCTGGACAATGTAAAGGGAATACTGAAGAAGAATTGATACATTTGAATTACAGTGTTGGAGAAGAGTATTGAATATACCATGGTCTTCCAGAAGAATGAACACATTAGTCTTGGAGGAAGTTCAGCCAGAGTGCTCCTTGGAAGCGACGATGGTGAGACTTTTTCTCGCTTATTTTGGATGTGCTATCAGGAGGGACCAACCACTGGAGAAGGACATCATGCTTGGCAAAGTAGAGGGTCAACGAAAAAGAGAAAGACCCTGAACGTGATGGATTGATACAGTAGGTGCAACAATGGGCTCAAACATAGCAACAACTGTAAGAATGGCACAGGACCTATCACCGTTTCCTTCGGTTATACATAAATTTGCTATGAGTCGGAACTGACTTGAGGGCACCTAACAACAACAGTGTACCAGCTCGTGTTACGTATGTGTCCATGATTATTTTTGTATTGATTTATGTGTAACTATGGTAAAACTTTCCTTTTTTGAGCATTTATATTTTCTTGTGTAGTCAACAATGAGATTAAGATTTGCTGCTCTCCACCACCAGTGGTAATGTGTGAAAAAGTAGAAGAAAGTGAAAAATGGAGACCTTGGGACAAATAAGACTTAGAGCCCAGCTGTTTTCCAGTCAAATCATGTCATTTTAGAGATGAAGAGATCCTAAGTGGTTAAGAGAACAGTTAATGGAACAGTCAGGATTGAACTCTGGTGTTTTGAAATGGAATCTCTTTATTTCCACCTTAATCCCATACCTTTTTAAGACTGGTCAGTATTCTTGGTCTTGTATTCAACTCTGTTATTTACTTTCTGGATACATTAAGCAGATTTAGAATGCAATTGGTGTGTACAAATATTTCCTAACCAAGACAAGTAGGCTGAGTGTCACTAATGAGGGATTTTGCTCTCTAGCATTACATCTCAGATGTGTGACTTCAAAATGAAGCTCTAATGGCCAAATGTTGGTTAGTGAATCTTTACAAATAATTATAATGATTATTTTACCCTGTTTTACTTTTTATAACTATCTTTAAAACATTCTTTTGCTCTCAGGCATAAACCACAGAGCCCCTGTAGAATAGGTACTTTACATATATGCCTGCTTTCTAGAAATAGCATTTAAAGAAATGAAGGAAAATTCTTACAGTCATCCAAGGAGTTGGTTGTAGAGTAAAACATGGAAACAAAAGCTATAGCCTCCAAGGCTGTTCTTTCAACAGGTCAACCATGTAGCTCCTTTCTTTTAAACTGCTTTTGGCAGCCTGTAAAGCAAAGAAAGAATGCTTGAGGGTTTTCCTCAAAAAACTCCTGAGGCTATAGGACAGTCCTAGAATGTCTTCAAACCTTTCCCCCACCCCCCTATACACACACTACCTTTGAAGAGTATGTGTTTATACTTGGTAAATCATGTCATAATGTAACAGTAAAATCTCTGTTCTGTTGTTTTCCATTTTTTCCTTATCCATTCCAAAGTCTTAGCATTTTATTTTTGTGTGGAACATTGTGCACATCCAACATTTTTGATGGAAGTAAATGGTACCAGCTGTTTTTCGTGTACCAAATAATATAATTGTGAACCTTAACCCTGAGATGATGTATTCGAATTTGTCCAGGTGTGGAAATGACTTGAATAAAAACTTGTTTTGGATAGTTGTCCCAATGCAGAATCATATTCAGCTACTTGCTGTCAACTTCATTCAGAAGGAGAGAGAAAACTTCTATAGGTCTTTCTTTACTCCATTCCCTTCTTAGCATGGCTTTCCTTATTTAAAATGGTGCATACGCACGCACGTGCGCGCGCACACACACACACACACCCGTTAAAGTTTCATCTCCCTTCCGTGTTTTATTTTTCCCATAATACTTACCACTGCTTAGCATACTCCCTGGTGGTGCAGTGGTTAAGAACCCAGCTGCTAACCAAAAGGTTGGCAGTTCAAATCCACCAGCCACCCCTTGGAAACCCTATGGGGCAGTTCCGCTCTGTCCTATAGGGTTGCTATGAGTCAGAATCGACTCAATGGCAACAGGTTTGGTTTTTTGTTTTTTAGTATACTATATACTTTACTTATTTAGTTCTTTGTCTTTTTTTCCCAACTAGTAATGAGAACAGGGAATTTTTTTTTTGTTCTTCACTGTTGTATTCCCAGATCTAGAATAGTACCTGGCATAAAAACTTCTGAATAAATACTTCTGATTGAATAATGTGAAAGCTGGAAGTTGTGATAAGTTTGGCCCTTTATTTTAATACATATAGTTGTGTCTTATTTTATAGGGTTATTTCATATTATAGGAGCCCTGGTAGTGCAATGGTTAATTCAGCTGCTAACCAAAAGGTCGGCAGTTCAAATCCATCAGCTGCTCCTTGGAAACCCTATGGGGCAGTTTTACTCTGTCATGTTGAGTCACTATGAGTTGGAATCAATTTGACGGCAATGAGTTTGGTTTTTTTTTGTTGTTGTTGTTCATATTATAGGTGAAATTAAATCATATTATTTAAAATGGGGACTTATCTAGTCACCAAAAATATCAGAATTTATTCTAGAAATGTGTATAGTTCCTTGGAAGTTATGCACTTACTCTAGTAATGCAAACTATTACCACATGCAAGGAATTTTGGAATTTTCTGCTTAGTATCACTCAAGAATTTGGTGGAAGACCTAAAAGCAAAAAAAATTTAAATTAGTAAGGGGAATTACCTTCAGACACACCCAACGACATCTTTAACCCTAGGTGACATTATCCAGTTTGATCCCTTATTCTATTCACCACATTTAACAGAAAATGACTTTTTATTATAAAAAATATATATAATCCTCAACTGACTAATATTTGCCAATATAGAAAATATTTAAAAGGATATGCTGCAAAATCTGAGGTGAGTTCTTTGAAGGAGTGTCAGCATTCATTTCAATATATAGATACTTGCATTTTTTTAACCAAGTATAATATTTTTTTACAAGTATATTATTTTTAAAAAATTTCTGGTGTCTGAAGTGCTCACATTTTTAGTCTTAAAATTAGTAGACTTTTATTTGTTTAAACAATATGTAAGATGATATAAAAGGGTCTACAACTTGACTAGCCATTTTATAAACTAAGTCTTTGAAAAATCAAAAGCTTTATTACCAAATTCTTGCAGTATTCCCTCAAGGGCGAGAAACAAACAGAAAAAGCAATTAGGACAGTGAACTTCACAGATTTGTTTGTAAGATATATTTGGACTAATTTGTTGCATAAATTACATCTTTGTACAAGACATATTTTTCACATTATCTTCTTTTATTTCAGAGCATTGGGGAATCAGCAATGTCTATCGTGTTAAATCAGCTGCTGCCCATGATTAAGCCTTCTAACCAGAGGACCAGTGATGACTATAGCCCTGAGGAGCTGTTGATCCTCCTGATATACATTTATTCTGTCACTGGGGAATTCACAGTGGACAAAGACCTGGGAGAGGCTGAAGAAAAACTGAAGAAAGCATTGGCTCACGTCTTTTGTGAGGAATCTGAGTTGTCACCATTGCTGCAAAAAATCACAGGTCAGTGTTTAACAAAGATATAGGACATAAGCATCATTGATATGGAAAATAGGTTTAAAAGCAAAGGATGTTTTAAGAATAGGCTGTAACCATCTTCACTGGAGTTATTTGAATTTTATGAGGCCTGATGAGTGCTAGCCATCCTTTAGGAGCAGAGGCTTTCATTGTAGTATTATTATTTTTTCTAGTTGTGGTAGTGAAATGACCTCCTAACTGCTTGTCAGAATTCATTCTCCCTAAGAGCATAACCTTTTTTAAAATTGCAAAGTAGTCAAAGGGCATACTGTTTTAAGGAAAAATAAAATGTATATATCCTATTCAAAGTGTTTCTGTTTACAAATCCTCTTTGAGATTGTTGTTTTCAAGCTTAAGAAACAAAACCTCCGCTTAAGCTGTTACATAACATTATAGGATTAAAAATTCTGGTTTCCAGGAGTAGTTCCTTGTTTTGACTTCTCATATTTCATTTTGAATTTGAATTAATTGGTATTATCAAATAATACCCAAATAGCCTAGTAAAGTAGGCTATGCTAATTTGGGAGAAATATTTAAATATCATTTAATCTACCTGTTTTCATTTCCAGTAAGAACTGGAATATAACTGTTGGAGACATTAGTCTGTGTTACGTTGTATCAAATTCAATATTGTTATTTATATTTTGTGTAAAGTTACTTTCCATTAGTATAGACTGAGTGTGGATGTCTGTTCTGAGAAGTTAATAAATCTTATATGTAAACTTTAAATACTTTTAAAACACACCAAGTTTCCATCCATTCCTGAGTATGTGGGTATGGGGGTCGGGGGGCGTGTATAAGTGTACATAGACCTGTCTTTTCAGGAAGGCTCAACTGAGGCAGATTTTAAACCTTTCATCCTGTCCCCTGTTGTGCCACCTGGGGGGAGTGTCCAGATTGCTCAGAAGTGGGCCATGTAGCTGTAAACCTAAGCATTCCAGGCATGTGTGCTTTGTTTTGTGCCCACTGCTGACCTTCCCTGTGTTTGGTTATGGAAAATGAAACTCTGATGAGATGGAAACTGAATGAAGTTTCCACAGAAATGAAATGTACTTTGCTTAATATAGAACATGTTTGCCAACTTAAAACCTACTTAAGAAAAACTTGTGGAATTTGCTCCCATTTCATTAAATACAGCACTATATGTGATTACATGTGCTTGTTTGGATAAAAATGAATATTATACACGTTTTATATGGTTTATAGAGTGCTTAGAACAGTGCTTTGATTCAAAGTAAATTTGAAGTCTAGGAGAATTTAATTGGAAGTTATTCTTAAAATGCATAATTTCAGACACAGACAACAAGGATGGTATATTTTAGCTGAGGTTATGTGGATAGCTTTTTTGTAGCATTCATATGTTGCGATATTGTTTTTGGAATTGAAGCCATGCTGTAAGACTATTCATTTAATATTTGCTCGAGGTGTTCATTGACCCAGCATTTCATTCTTTATGAGTTTCTCTATTTATGATTTCTCAGGATATTACATTTTCTTGCTTTTAAATATGATTTCACAGTTAAAAACACTTTTGTGCTTTCACGCTTTTGACAGGAAAATTTGTAAGTTTAGAGGTTGACAGTTACAAAATAAGATTTATGGAAAATTTAGAATATTTTTAAATTTTAGAGACATTTTATTCTATGATACTAGTATGTGTTGCTGCCTAGTTTAACTTTGGGTGTACAGTTTAATCAGGGTAGCAAGTGAACCTACCACTGAAACACACACGCATACCCACACATTGATCAGCCTCTGTGGACACCAGAAGAGCTTTGTTTCTGAAAGTAGGCTTTTACTTGGCTGGTATAGACATACCCCTTAGTAAGTATGTTGAAAAGCCAAATGGCTGCTGAGGAGAATGTTTAACCTACATTTCAGGATAAAAAATAATAGAATAACATTGGGGCAGTGGTGACTCAATCTTCCAGAAGAGGGTAAGATTCCCTGATAGGTACTAGAAGAATTGACTTCCAAATGTGCTTAATCTGTCCTGGAGCTAGGTTAGCCTGGCTTTTATTGTGAACTTGCCCACAATATTGTGCTTATGTTGTTCTGATATATATGTATATATTTTTGGGTGAGTGGCAGAATTTATTTTATGCTTGTGTACATTTTGTGATTTTTGAAACTTTGGTTAAAAAGGAATTATGGAAAACAGGCAACTGATCAGTGTAAGAATTCTGCTTTTTACATAATGCTTCATTTTTATCGTCTTAACTTTTGATAAGATCAAGAAATCAATCTTTTTCTGTACTAGAAACTTAAGTGTGGTTGATGGCAACGTACTATTCTTTTTTAATCTGCTGTCTTTTTAATAAACTCTTATGGAAGTTAAATCTTTCTAGAGTATTGGACAAAGCTGTTTTTGCTACTCACACAAAATAAAATTAACAAGGGCTAGCTCTCTGAACACAGGGATGGAGAAGTGTCAAAAGAAAATTAGTATGGCCTGAATATTCCAATTAGTGTTATGCTTTCTCAGTCTTGCTAAGTTCAAAGTGAGTATCCATTTACATTAGTGTTTATATGCAGTCACAAGAGAAAACAAAGGAAAACCGTTTGAACTTCTTCAGAGAATGAAATCAGAATGCTAAGAGCTATGAAAACATGGGATGTCATCATACAGGGAGGTGTATCAGAGAAAGCGTAGGACTGGGAGGCAGAAATGTGATGCAAGAAGTCTTGGCTCTCACTATCTCATAGGCTTGTTGTGAGGATTAAGTAGGTTATTTATGTTAAGTGCTTAGAACAGAGTCTGTGGTGGTGGTTGTTGTGTGCTTTCGAGTTGATTCCGACTCATAGCGACCCTATGGGACAGAGTAGAACTGTCCCATAGGGTTTCCTAGGCTAAAAAAAGAAGTCCTTGCTCTGCCATTCCTAGCAGTGTGTGTGTGTGTGTGTGTGTGCGCGCGCGCAGGTTCATGGGAAAATCACTCAGCATCTTTGAACCTTGGTAATAAACATAATTGCTGTATTGACCTCTCATGAAAATAAAATGACATAATGTGTGTGAACTAATTTTTGGTCCATACAGTACTGTAAGTAGGTAAATTTACTATTATTGCCATTATTATTTTGGAAGTATCTAGATACCAAATAGGGTAGTGCTTCCTGATCTTTTTCACATCATGGTATACACAATGAGAGTGTTTGTATCGTACACTGAAGCATGTGGTCAGAGGCAGCCAGCCAGGGGGCTCTGGCTACTCTGGCCATTCTAGGCCCTACTCAGTTGACCTTTGGGCTGAGGTGAATCAGCAGCTTGGCACACCTGTAACCTATTAGCGACAAATGAGGGCTCTAAGCTACGTTGGTCAGAAGGCTCTGAAATTGGGAAACAAAGAAAAATGAAACTTGCATATTACTTTCTGACATTCAAAACAATTTTAGAAAAATTTCTTTTTGGTGAATTACTGAATTTGCATTACTCATTGACTTATTTTCCCTGAACTTTTGTAGTATCTTTAAAGAAAATGTCAATAAGGTTAGATCTAATTGTGTGAAGCTTAGTGTAAAGCTAGGGCATGAATGATTTAAAGTATCTAAAAATTCCGTGGTTCAAGACAGAGGCATAGTAATACCATAGAAACTGTAATTTGCATTTATTGAACTCTTCTTTTACTCCCTGTTGATAATTTGAGATTATCAATATCTTAGTTATCTAGTAAGGAGCTTGGTGGTACAATTGTTAAGTGCTCAGCTGCTAACCAAAAAGTTGGCAGTTTGAACCCAGCCAGTGGCTCCACTGGAGAAAGGCCTGGCGATCTGCTCCTGTAAAGATTACATCTAGAAAATCCTACGGGGGCATTTCTGCTCTGTCACACGGGGTTACTAAGAGTTGAAATCTGCTCAAAGGCACCTAACAGCAACAGTTACCTAGTGCTGCTGTAACATAAATACAAGTGCATGGCTTTAAATAACAGAAGTTTATTTTCTCACAGTTCTGGAGGCTAGAAGTCCAAATTTGGGGCAATAGCTCTAGGGGAAAGCTCTCTCTCTGGCAGGTCTGGGGAAAGATCCTTGTGTCTTTCAGTTTCTATGGCCCTTATGTTGGTCACTTCCTTGGTGATCCTCAGGTGGCATCTGTCTTTCCCCCACCCCCATTCTTTGTTTCTGTGTCTATGTTGCTCCTTATAACTCAGAAGTGATTAGGTTTAGGACACACCCTACACTGGTATGATCTGATTAACATAACAAAGAAAACCCTATTTCCAAACAGGATTACATCCACAGGCACTGGGGTTAGGATTCCCATACAAACCCTGGGGGATACAATTCAATCCATAACAGTTGATTACTGAGTCCTTGCTTTAGGATTGCACATGGCTGTATATAATGGAAAATTGACTGGATTAAGTAAAAAAAATAAGGATCTATGTTTTCTCAAGGAGAAGTTCAGAGGTAGGCAGAACTCAGGCTCCTCCCAGCAACCTTCTTTCCTGTCCTTAAGCTGTGGATTTTGTCATCATGTTAATGAGGTGGGCGCTCATCTACTAGGCATTGTGTCCACGCTTCAGCCATGAAGTGGAGAAGACAAAGGTAAAAGGCATATGCTAGCCACTTTTCTTTCCTGAAAGCTCCACCCAGAAGACTTACATTTCTTTGGCTGGGCCTGGAACTAGCTACCAGAGAATCTGATGAGTGAATATTTTAAACTGGGAATATGTTTGTCATGAACAAAGTCAGGGTTGTGTAAGAAGAAGGCAAGAATAGATATTAGGTAAGAAACTTGTATTTGCTACAATTATCTTTCTAGACTTCCCTAACAGAGGAAATTCTAAGGCTAGATAATATACTGTGAGGTGAGGTAATGCCCTGAGTGTTTTAATATTATAGTTATAATATTGACATTTCTTTTCTAGTATGTATTGTATGCTTGTGTCAGTGGACTTACATCACAAACATTTTCAACTTCTAAATATTTATTGAACATCATCTCTGTACCTAGCATTATTCTAAACTCTCTAGGGATAGAAACACTG